CCCAGCTCTGGCTCTACCCTGCAGCTGCCTCCCACTCCATGCCCCGCAAATCTGGGGGCATATGCCCCCCCGCCCTTCTGGGATGCAAGCAGTGGTGGGAGCTGCCTCTGCTCCCTCCCCCCATGAGCTGCAGCTCCTCCCCCTGCCCCGTCCCTCACCGTGCAGGATGTTTATCTGCCCCCCACACCCCTTCCCTTCCCCCTCCCCTTTCACCACACCGGACTTACCAGCTGGAGGCAACTGTATCGGAAATCGGATGGGTATCGGCTGATATGCCTCCTTAAATGTCAGCTGTCGGTATCGGCCCCAAAAATCTCTATCGTTGCACCCAAGTAATTTGAAATGTGATGTTCTCACCTGTTATGAGTTGTCTCAGTTTTCACCATGTTTAAATTGTCCTTTTCTAACCTAAATTTCAGCTTTATCATCAGATTTTCACTGTTATTTGCCATATACAGTCCAATTAACCTCAGTGACTTACATTTTTATCTTTAGTTTGGGAAGACAAAGGTGGGGGGATATGAGATCATGAAGGATAGGAGAACTGTTATTCACCAAGTCCCAGAATACAGTAAGGGGCACCCACTGAAATTATCAAGAGGCAGGTTTAAAACAAACAAGAGGAAATACTTCGTTACGCAGCATATACTTGTGGAATCTGTTGTCACAAGAAGTTGTGGAGACAGACAGTATAACCTGGTTCCAAAACAGATAAAACAAATTAATGGAGGACAGGTCCATTGGAAGCTATTAAATTAAACAGTTGGGGATCTCTCTCTAAATCTGACATCTGTAAACTAATGGTGGTTGATGCCAGCAAGGGTATGAAACGAGATGGATTATTCTAGATGTACCCTGTTCACATAATCTCCTAAAACCTCTACTACTTGCCAGTACTGGAGATCAGTTACTGTGCTGAATGCAACTACTTATGTTGTTCTTCACTATAAATGTAAGAACTGTTAGGTAACTCAGTGGATTCAAAATTAACAGAAACTCATGGGTGTAAGCCAAATTTACTTTAACAAGCACAAGCTTATTTTCTGACATCTTTGTGTTACTAGCCGTGAAGTCAGCCCTCAGAAGGTAAATACCGCAGGACTCAAATTAGAGAGAAAGAAGATGGCACCTCATTTGCTTAATTCATATTCCTGCTACTCATCTATTTTTTTTATGCTGTAGGAAATAATTGGATTGAGAAACTGACTACAAGCGTATTGGTTTTGAAGTTACTCAGTGTAGAACATAGCATGACATTAAAATTACTCTTCTACTTTTTTCTAAGATTGATAGGAAGATAAACATTTAACAGATATGCCTTCATTAAAATATATCACAAATATATTCAGAACAAAATGTAATGAGTATCAACAAAATCGGAAACAAAGGAGTAATATAGCAATATCTGGTGTTGTCCTGGGAATGTAATTAACCACCTAAATAATACTTCAGTTAATTTTAAAATATATTCTTAATTTCAGTTCTTAGTTTTATTCACAAATTCAATTAATAGTGTAGCAATGTAAAAACACTTTGCTATACATTTAAGGAGGAAAAGTGAATTCTTAAGAATATCCTTTTTCAAATGAAGTAACACTGAATCCATTTCACATGGGTTGCCTCAGAGATCCTACTGCAGGCATACTGCTGTTAGGTTTCAGTATCACATTCTGGTTATGAGGGGTGTTTCATGCAAGATGGTAAAAGCAGATAAATACACTTTTTCAAAAACGTGGAGATTATTTGTGTATTGCGTAATACAAGTTTTACAAGTTATTGAACAATTGTTAAGTTCTGGGTCTGAGTTTTTAGCTGTAAATCATGTTGGAACACAATGCATGCATTTGATGACAGTTTTGTGCAGAATCCTAATATTCTACACGTTTCTCTTTTTAAGTTCAATTCTTTCATTTGTGTCATAAAAGATATGCTTAATAGACTGGAAGCTGAGCATAAGACCAAACTTGAACAACTTCATGTAATGCAAGAACAGCAGAAGTAAGTATGTCTCTAATCAGTTTCAGCTCGCCAGTTTAACTACAACTGAAATGGGTTGGTCAGTGGTACCAGATGTAATAAAACCTTACCAGGTTCTCATTCCAATAATTGAGAGCTCTTGGAAATAGCCAGGCTTGCCCTGTATGCTATCCTTGCCAACATTTGAAATTGGCAAATAAATTCACCATAACTTTTCAGTTTCATCCAGTTATCCAAAATACATGATAAAATGCTATGATAAAAGAATATTTTTAGCATAATATTAAGAATTAATGCAGAAGAATAATCTACTTTATTGATTTATACCACTTTCATATTATTTTTGCTTTGTGCTACAGAACTTTGGATATAACTAACCAAATGAATGTGTCTGAAGAGGCAAAATCTAGCAGTACTGGTAATCAGGTAAGAGTTATATTTTATTGGTTCGGTTCCATATAGGAGTTTAAAATACTAATTTTAGGTTACAACATGTAATTTTTTTTTTAACCAATTTGAACAGATTGACAAAGTGTTTAACAGTATAGGTACTGACTTGCTACCTAGCGGATCTGATATCAAAGAAAATGAACTGTCATCAAAACAGAGAAAGGTAGGTCAGAACTTTTTCTTTATTTTTTATTTGTTTGTTCAGAGTTGTTTTGTTACACAGATGTCTTTGTATGTGAGGCTGATTTTTAGAAAAAGGAGGACTTGTCTCAAGAAAATTACATAAATATTTACGTTGTATTTAGTGCTTTAAAAGAATATAACCAAACGCACCACTCCAAATGTTCACAGACATTTTTTTAAAACTGAAATTGTGAATTCAGCAACATTGGCACTAAAATTATAAACTAGTTTCCTTCCTACTTTTAATACAGATTTAACAACTAGCAAACCTTTATTGTAAAACTTAGGTAGTGGATTTAGGTATTGGAACGAAATACTCGGGCAATCTTTAATTTCTGCATAGGGGACCTTTCACCCTCAAAGAAAAACCACCGCCACCAAAAAATGTAAAAGAATGAAGGCAAAGAAATTAAAAGACAAAACTGAATTGCTGGCATTTAGGCTTTTATAGACAATACTCTATTTTAGTTTTTTTCAGATACTGAAATTCACTAAATCAATTAAATATATGATCTCTAACTCATTCTTAAAACTCCAATACATTTGGAATAAGATGGGAATGAAGAAAAAACCTTTTTACCATCTGATGATAATACCACTATTTTCTCTGTTCAAGACATCACTTACACTTGAAGAGAAGCAAAAGTTAGCAAAAGAACAAGAACAGGCACAAAAATTGAAAAACCAGCAGAAAAGAACAAGAACAGGCACAAAAATTGAAAACCCAGCCTCCACTTAAGCCTCAAACGCATACAATCACACCTCCAGTAAAACAGGTGAGATAATGTATTTACTGTATTGAGCTCTCTTCATTGTTGCCTTGACCCTACTTCCTTACAGGTATTGTATGCATTAGAAATACTGTATTTGCTATTTGTTGCGTCTTTGTTTACTAAGAGAAAAACCCTTATTTTCATTTATGTTAACTCTGTAAAGTCATTGTAGCTAGACAACAACAAACTTTAGTCTGACCATGAGTTCATTAAACTAGGGTGTTTGATGGGGGGTTTTGAGGGTTTAAAAAAAAAACACTTTTATCTATTTATGCTCACCTTGCATTCCCTATGTTGGTAGCAATGGGCCTCAAGATTTTTATTTTTTTGTCTTAATCCTTTATCCATGTTGAAAGCCCATAGTACTGAGATACTGGGTGTGTCTACATACGAAAGTAGCGTGATGCAGTAAGTTCCAGTGCAATTCACACTGGAGTTTATTGCCCCCAGGCACAGTGTTTATATGTGCACCTGGGACTGCAGGACATTGAGCCCTGGGCAGTGCTGTCCTGGCTGGCAAGGGGTCCGGTGGGGTCAGCCTGCCAGCCCGGAGCTGCTCCGCCCTGGCTCAGTGTGCTGCAGAGGGGCTGGCTGGGGCACATGGGTGTTACAGGGTGGGGATGCCTACCGGCAGGCAGCCCCACCCTGTAGCAACTCTTGTGCCCCAGCCAGCCCTGTCACCGTCTACATGTGAATTGTGCTGGAGTAAATAACTCTGCCATAGGATAGTACTTGTGTCGGGCGCTAAACCTACAGCAGAGTTAATTAGTTTACTCTGGCCTAATAACTCTGGGCAACTGTAGCCCATTGCAGTTATGAAAAGGTACAGATGTAGTGGGTTTTTTATTGGTGCTCTGATACAAGCATATAGCTCCCACTGACTTCTGTAGGAATTGAATATGTAACTGAAAGCTAAATCAGAGGCACAGATGGGCAGCAGCTCTGTACAGCTCTGTTCTAGCTGCCATGGTGCCATGGAAGCACAGCCAGCCCACCACAGCAGCAGTGGCTATTGTTGTGCACTTATATATAGCCATAGAAACTATCATGCATACATTTCATGATCAGTTTTAGTTGAACATAAGGTCAAATTAATTCTGGCTTCTGAAAAATATATTAAAGGAACATCACCTTGAATTGCAACTGCAGAAGCAATGTGATAAGATGTTAATGTATCTGTAAAAGAAAAACATTAAACTATTTTTTGTATGTTTTTCAGGCAAAGGACTTAACAGAAACTTTGATAGATAATATGTCATCTTTGACCAGTCATTCTATTAGTAAACCTAAAGTTGCTTCTTCAGGCAGCTTCTCTTCTGTCCCGTCTATGGGTATTGGAATGGGATTTTCATCACCTGTTGACAGCACAAAAAGAAACATAACAAATGGCCTGAATACTACCATAGGTCTTCAGACTTCTGGATTCAGCATGGGGGCTGGTACCACAAGCCAGAATTTCTTCAGCAGTCCAAGTGGAACTGGAACAGCCAAGGTTAACATAGTACCAGCCCCCAATATGCCAAACTATAGCCCTGTGAGTGCAACATCTGCAGTCTCACAGCTGACCCAACAAAACAGACCTGCAGATATGTCTTCTCTAGATAATCTTTTTGGTCCTCAAAAACCCAAAGTCAGTATGAACCAGCTGGCACAGCAGAAATCAACCCCGTGGGTTAATCAATTTGTACCCCCTCAGGGGTCCCCAGGCACAACCAGTTCAGTGTTGGGACCACAGATGAACATAGTAGGACAACCTGGTTTTGGTATGCAGGGTAATCCTTTCTTTAATCCTCAGAACTTTGCACAGCCAACAAACACTATGACGAGCAGCAGCTCAGCTAGCAATGACTTAAAAGATCTTTTTGGGTAAAAGGTTTTGCTTTCTTTTTCAATGATTGCTACAGTTTGAATCATGGGTAAGCTGATTAACATCTTATTATGATTTGGTAAAAATTTAACTAAGAAAATTTCCCATCTCGCAAAATAAAGTTTTTTGCACAGGAAAAAAGACTGTTTACCTGCTGACTGGATAATATTGTAGAATTGCTTAAGTGTAAAGTCACCTGATGCAATAAATAGTCTGCTCTATTTTCCCAATCTCAGAGCTTTGAAGTCAGGATACATTTAACCTTCATATGTCTATTCATAAAAAAGCTAAATTTTCAGAAACTTGTATGTGTGGTTTTTTTACTCCATAAGTTTAAAAAGCCACATCTTGACATTGAAAAAACTTGTGTGTTGTGTAAAACTAAACAGAATGGATTTGTTCTGTTACCACTTAACCATATATTTGTTGAATATGTCATGGCCCTTAATTTATACCGACAACACAGCATGGGAAAAGTTTGATTCTTATGCAGTCTCAGATTGTCAGTTGCAGTAGTTATGTTTATATGGATATGTCTCTAATCATGCGCAGGAGTCTGAGGATTTGAAATTATTTGATTTTTCACTTGCATTAGTCAGGGCATGTCTACACATGCATTAATACACTGTAGTTACTGCGCATTAAGTTCAGTTCCTGTAATAGGTACTAATTCAATGCTCAGTGCGCAGTAGCACCAGCATACGCCTTTTTAGTGAAGCTGCTGCACAGTAGACTAATTCTGCTGCACATTAGCACATGTTTTGCCATGACGCATTAATGCACAGTAGAATCAGTCTATTGTGCATTTAGCATCTCATGTAGATGCCCTCTATGTATTCTAAGATGAGTGAAGTGGCAACAGTAAATATTCTAATAGCAATGACTGGTGCATTGCTCCAGTAGTCATACAGACTTGCACTTTGCTTTGTAGTATTGGATCCCAGTTTTCAGGCCCAGAGCAAGAGCCACATACTGCTTAAAATCCTATTTAAAACATGGCACGTAACTTAGTGATATAAATCGGAAGCAAAATATTTCTTGTTTTCAGTGGCAAAATTGGTAGTTTTTCACTGGTGCAAACTAAGAATCAGAGCTGTTACTAAGCACCATAGGAAAAAAACAGTCCCTAAATTTAAGTGTTATCTGCCTCAGTTTTGATACAGTTGGCTTGTTTATATGGAAATATTTTGAATCAATTAGCATTTTCTGGCTGTGGGGAAGGACAGACTGCATTTAATGTGGCATACGACTGTATGAAAAAGCAGTAAGCCATGATTTCCTTAACTTGAATAAACTGTTAGCTTCCAATTTAGTTTTCACTCAAGCTCTCTTATGAAGGATAAATACCTATGATTTGAATTCTCAAGTGAAAATCTGTGAGCACTAGAACATATTTGATGAGTACATAGCTGTTTTAAACCCTTATTCTGTATTGCTCCAAATTTAATAAAGTTCTACAGAAAATCAAGCAGTAGTTGTTTCTGCTTCCCAAGAGGTAGATGTTCAGCTTCCCCATGATGGAATCTCTGCTCTGTCAGTTACCACTGTTGGGTTCTAACTTTGTCTTTCCTAGGAATTTCAGGAACTTTCTTATGTAATATTTTGAACACTATAGCTGGATATTTTGAGAAGGAAAGAATTAGTTAACTTTTGTTTTTTGTTTCTTTTGGGGTTTTTTTAAGCCTACATTATTTTTCAAAGCCTTTCACTGAAGAAATTCTTTCATTTGCTGCTTAAGAAACCAAAGGGCCTTATGCTGTAAATGTGACTTGTATTTGTTAAATTATACTTTCACAGTTTTAAATGACGATAACTTCAAACGCATCTCTTGATGAAATCTTGATGTATTATAGCTGCTACCTTAGTCCTTTTATTTTTTAAAATTCCTGGGACCAGTGAAATTGTGGTAATAAACATATTGTGATGCTTATGTGCTGTAGATCCATGGTCGATATTGTAGGTTACATTGAACTAGTTGCATAATTTGTATAATGTTAGGAATACTAAATATTTAAATTTCATATGTGGTTAATGGCATTCTATACTCCGAGTGATCTTAATACCTTTCTTTTTAAAATAAATCAATGTGATCTGATTTCTGAGAGCTATGTTTTGTTAGGGCAATTGAAGACAAGACTTTGAAGAATTACTTGTCCATTCTCACATTATAGCAAAAATAACCTTATGATGAAAATGACACGTGTTAGTAGCAGAATTATGTTTCCAAAATAGAGGTGGGCTCAAACTACAAAATTCTGACTTGGAGTACAGTGGTTCCCTTTTCACCTCCTCCCATAGATGGAACGTGGGAAAATTTAGATACAGTTTTGGACTCCAGCTCTCCTGAACTTTGGTTGTTTGAGATCTGTGGTTTTGGTTTGAGCCAGTCTCTAGTTTAGAGCATAGGATATTATATGGAAATCCTTTTTTATGCCTTTTTATAAAGTTTAATTTAAGAGGTAAGATTTATATACAGAGGTAATATACTGAATAAAGGCCTCTGCCTAGCTTGAATAATACAAAATACTTCGTATGCAGCGCTTGATTGCATAATATCTGTTTCTCTGTCAGTCTTTTTCTTGCAACTATACGGTATCAATTTTTATCAGAAGGGATCAGGGAAAAAATACTAACAAACAGAAGTAAAGAATGTTCATAGAAATACAAATCAAATATTTCCAGTAAATTTCAAATACTATTTTTTTATTTGGGCTACACTATCACCAAGGACCATGTTGTGGGACAGAAAAGTCCATTAGTTGACACCTTTTTATTTTTTTTAAGGCATCTGCTTAATTCAGAGGAGAGGGGAGGGAAAGGTTATTTTTTCCCCAAAGTGCTTGTTTCTTCTGGCCTCTTTGCCTACAGCACTTCTTTAAGAAGCCTACTCCATGATGTATCCCCAGTTGCTGCTTCTTACCCAGATGCTCCTGAGGGTTGAAGGTATGTATATTCATATGGCAAGTGGGTTTAGTTAGGACTGCTGGATCAGGAAAAATGTATGCCTGGAACTCCAATGAATGTTAGGAGAAAGGGTGAAGGAGAAATAAGAGCGTTATAGAAGATAACGCCCACCGGCCCCAGTCTGTCATTTCCTGCGGAAGGATGTCTATGAGTTAAGAAAGAAGCTGGTAAGATATGTCACCATCTATATATGCCCCCCTCCCCCCCACACACACTTTATTTTTATCCACTTTTAAAATATTATTTCTAAGTATAGCAGAAAAAGGGATCAGTCCTAAAAACATAGAATTAAGACTGTGGGTTTGAAATTTGTGATATTGCCTCTTAAAAATTTAGAGAATGTTGGTAACTTTACCAAAATAGTCATTCATTGGAAAACAAATTGTACTGCATTGCCATGAATGCATTTTATAGCATCTGCCTTTCACACTTCAGTTAACTTAAATAGATGGAAAGGTTGTACACTATCAGTAAGTTCACGTTTGTTTAATTTCCCAACATCTTAATCCTGTGCTTACCACTGTGTTTGGAAACTCCCATTGACTTCAGTGGGCTTTTGCACTTCAAGATACTCAATGCAGGTGTGGGGTCAAGCTCTCAGTTAACTCTCAGTTAAGATGCTCTCACATTTTCAGTTATAACAGAGAAAAAAGGGGAGGAAGTACGTTCCCCCCCTTTTTTTTTTTTTTTTTTTTTTTGGACTTGCTTCATTGCAGTGCATTTACTATAAAATGAGAAATGTAAATACTTGATAGAAAGCAGCCTCATCTCTCTTTGGGTACAAAGAATTAGTTCTGCTGTTCTGACATCTACATGTCTAGTGATCATAAACCTAACTCCTAGCCTTTCCCATATTGGAATTTTTGGTTCAGGTTCTAAAGTATCAGAGTTGCTGAAGCACCCTTGGAAACACAAGACAAAATGAGCCTTTAAAAAAACCTACTGTATTTAATAGGGCTTGAAACTCCTGCTCACCCAAACTGCTATGTATTTTTGCCTGGGATGGGATTAAGTGCCTTAGTGGAGCAATGGAACTGCTGACTTTTTGGGCAGGGTTTCTGGGCAGCCCCTGTGCTAACTTCATTCCCACTAGGAAAGAGATGGTGGGGCAAAATGGCCCTAAGGGCCATTCCTTTCTATCCTCTTTGGTGGCAGAGAACAAGGTTATTGCATTGCTTTTCCAAATAATGAAGGTTGGGGATAAGGAGCAGAGCAGTCTATGGGGAAGACCAAAGATCTTCTCCATATGTAGAAGGGCAGCAGCACAAGAAGACACCTGAAAAAAGGTAAACGGTGTCCAAATGTCCATTATTACTTGGAAAGTGGACATGGTTTCATAATTGATTTTATTAGGAAACATGATTGTAAGGAAGTGAAGATATGGCTAGGTGAATGAAACGGGCACATTTTGAGGCACTGTGGCCTTGCAGATACATGACAACATAAACACTTTACCCTATGATTGGACAGCTTACTCCCTGGGCATGTTAAATATTTATAGTTCTGGACTGCAACGTTTTTCTTTCTCCAAGTCTTGTCTTCCTATCTGTGCAGATTGCTGCTGTTAACATGTTACTATATTAAAGCTTTTGCAAGCACCACATTGGCCTTTTAATAAAGTAACAAAAATATGGTAAGGGAGAGAGGTATTTGCTAATTTTTGTATTGTGCTTTGTACATACATGTATGTTTAGATGCCATTTGTTTCATTTACATTTCACAGTGAAAAGAAAAATGAGAGGTTTGGTTGTGTCAAATCCCATAGGTCTTCCTTATGGATAAAAGGATATGCTCTCTAAATTTTATGTTTTGTGCTTAGTGTACCTAAATCTGCCTGATATACAACAGAAGGGGAAGAGACTTTTTTTCTTAAATAAGTTTAGGAACACTGGATCTCTGTCATACTAAACGTGAAACTTCTGAGACTTGAGAAGGGATCTTTTTTGTGTGTGTGTTGAAACTTGTTTGTGCAGTTGAAAGTTATAGAAACATCCCATAAGAAGATGGGATCTTATCCCAGAAAAAAAAAGAATATTTAACTATATATGCATAACACTGTCCATTTTTGTTTCTTCTCTGTAATGTTATATGCTTCATTTTATATGTTGACAAGTGGGAACTTTTGTTCCGAAATATTTTTAGAGAATTTACCCAAAAGCTCAGATTCATTATCTGTTTTTTCAGTGAGTTAGTCCTTTTGTACTTCCATTTCCTTTAGGATTTGAGTCACGTTTCAGGAAGTCACACAAGGCATTATAGATTAAACCTAGGCTTTGTGCCCTACATCCTTTTGACTTGCTCCCAAAACCTAGTAAATGGGTCCCTAATTCTGAATTTATTGTATTTATTCTCATAAGTGCTAAATTTCAGACAGTTTTAACTACTGTACAGATCTCCAGGGGTGAAGTTGCCAATCAAAACTGCTTTAACATGTTATAGTGAACTCAGGCCTTGTGCAGAATAAATATTTATATTTACTTGTCTAATTGTACAGTCTCTGTAAGTAGTGGTGGTTTTATGTTTAAATTGTAAAGCATTACAATTTTCATGATGTGTGTAAAGTGATGTTACTGTAGTGTCAGTTGTGATCCATAGCATGGTATTATCATATTTTGGTTTATAGGACAGCTCTTCAAAAACAAATTTATTCTTGTATCAACTTTTAGATCAGTAATCTTAAATACGTAAAATGTACAGTGACAATTACAAGAAATTCATATCACTTTGTACCGTGAATGAAAATGGTGTAGTTTTGAAATCTGAATGAGATTACGTATTGAAATAAATGAACTTTTCTTATTTTTATTATGGAAGATATTTTATTCCCAGCTTTCCATAGGAATGATAACTGAGTTAAGTTTTCTTCTAACATGTGGTGCTCAGGTATCTCTGGATTTGGCACATGTATTGCAGTACCACCACAAAATGGACATCATATAATGTGGTAAAGAGCCACAAAAGCTGGAAAAACTGCAGCCAGCTTTGGGGGAACATTATCCTAAATATTCAGGTTCTTTAAAATTTGCATGTATTTATTCTGTGACTTCCTAATCATTGTGTACTGGTAAGCGCTAAGTTCTCTTAGGTCTTACATTGCAAAATTTCTGTTTTTCTTGGTCTTTTCCAAGCCAGTTAGTCAATATTCAGGACTTCACAATTTGTTTTAGTTAACAGGTGAAATTATGCTTCCCCAAACATAGCAGGTACAAACAGGAGGCAGTTTCTTTGCTTGTGGTTCAAAACTTTTTCCCAGACAGTGTTCTGCTTCAAAAAAGTGTGCTCATGAGTTCCCCCGGGGCTGCACTACCAGTGCTTCTTTAGCTGTCCCCATCTTGATAGTGGCTTTCTGCATTTCACATATCAATGCACACAACTTTCCTTTTTAACT